AGAATATCATGAAATGAACAGAAGAAAAAATATCACGATAGCTATCTATATACAAATTCAAAAATAAATTCTTTAGAAAAAATCAAATTATATATCATCACTCAAATTTGATAACGTTCATTTTCGTTCTATCAGGTAACCAAGTAAGTTCGTGCGGTTGCTGTATATCGTACATTGCCATGGATGTTGTTGATCGATAGGTTCTTCGACAGGTTGTGGACGCAAATTCCAGGACAACGTGCCAAGAACTTGCAAAAAGATTCAGAGTAAGTTCTGGAACTATTCTTTTGCATCTTCATCAGCTAGGAAAGACGTGGAAACATTCCACGCAACGTTAATGAACCATTTCTTAATCGGTTATTAAACTGCGACGAAAAATGGATCTTGTATTCGAATTCTAATCGTTCGTACCATAGGTTGTCGCCTACTGATTCGGTACTACACACGCCCAAGTCTTCCTTGCATCCAAACAAGGTTTTGTTGTGTGTTTGGTAGGCAGCAACTGGAATTGTCCATAATGAGTTTTTGGAAAGGGGTCAAACCATCACTGCTAACTTGTATTGTGAGCAGCTTCAACGAGTACAAGCAGCACTCATCCAGAAACAGCCTTCTTTGATCAATCGGAGGAAAGTGATATTCTTGCAGGATAACGCCAAACCTCATACCGCAAAATTAAAGCAAGAAAACATTTCTGAACTCGGCTGGGGAACGTTACAGCACCCACAATATTCTCCCGACATTTCGCCCAGCGGTTATCACCTTTTTTTTGTCTCTTGACAACTGTATGAGGCACCGACAGTTCACAACTCGAGATGGTGTAATAAATGCAGTCCGCCAATTTGTTTACTCCAAGTGTAGGGAGTTCTACAATACCGACATACAAAAATTGGTTCCACGTTGGCAAAAGGTCATTGAATGTGATGGTAATTACTTCGATGAAGAAATAGTGTCTTATTGTTTCTCAATAAAAAATTATATTTTTCTACTAAAAACCGCACGAACTTATTTGGTCACCTGATATTAGTATCTCGGCTTTGTTACATCAAAAATTTGATATGAAATTAGTATTAAAGTATCAAACAGAAATATTTCATAGAGCAATCAATTTATTTCATTACAGCTCTAAAGTGGCAGTAATTCCAGTTTTTTTGAATCATCCTATTAGAGTTGTGGCAGATACCGAGTCGATGCTTTCACACTTTTTTAGAAATAATCAAAGATTATAATCACAGGTCCAACAGAAATATTACAAAGGTGTGATATTTATTGCTGGACATCATATATGTACTACATATATTTTTGTTACATTGTCGAAAATTGGCTTACGATAAATAGATATAACCTTTCTAGTTCTACATGTCTTTTAGAGCATAAAAACATGAAAATCCTTAGATCGCTAAGATAAAAGCACGTCTAATTAGTTATTTGGTTATTTCCAATGGTAAAAAGTAGCCAATGCGCTATTCAAGAATATAATATAATATGTTGCAAATTCCATCCAGATCCTTTCAGAATTTTGGCGTGATTAAGTAGGTACCCTTTTTCAGGAGTATCCATTACGGGAGAATGACAGCTGTTTATCTAGTAATAACTCAAAATTCCCCAGATCGGCACAGGACACATAATTCTGACGGATCCGTCAACGTCGTGTAGTCAGAGTCGTATTTTGTTTTGTTTTACGTACGCTACAGACGTATTTTGTACTTGCTAAAGGCCTATTCATACTTAGCCGTGACGTGAAAGTGCTGTGACCGGCACGTGATTCGCCCGGCGAAACTAAAAACATTCTTCCTGGAATTTGGATGAACTGATTCACATTAGACCGGCACGTGTTCTCAGTACCCTCGACGACACCGTACCGTGATCATCGCATTGTTTTGGAACGATGGAACGATATTTTTAGAATGTGTGCATGTTGCATGCACACGTTTCCCCTCGCCAGAGTCCGTGTGGAGTCCCCCCTTTTCTCTGTGTTTCCCCTTATAGCACTACGGTACCCCATGGATGTTTTGGCCTTAGGCCGTTGTGGTAGTTGGAGTATACAAAAAAATGCAGAACTAATGCAATAATTGCAAGTTCATCATCTGAAAATTTTGCCATCTCAACCTCACGAGAACACAACTGTACTGTCAGAGCACGGAAAAAAAGACTGACCGGTGTGAGATGAAAACATTGTGATCTCACGTCAGCGAGAATCACTGGCACGTCACGGCTGTGTGTGAATAGAAATTTACAGCTCTCTTATTTAGAAAAGTTAATTTGCATACAAAAAACAAAACGCTACAAGCAAGCTTGACTCGATTTACAGCCGGTTCATTATTGCCAACGTCCCAGACAAAAATCTCACTTGCTGATCAGCTGTTCACCTCAGTAGACGTCAAAGCGTCATTGATACTCGTAAAATAGGTATAACAAACATTCATACTTACTCATTTATAATATTTAGTAGGGTTATACAGAGATATTCAGAAAAATTTAAACTTACCAGCTTTGGATAACCAATATATCCGCATGCATCCAAAAGAGTAATAAGACAATCCTCACTGATTTTAAGTTTATCCCGGCTATCCCAAATGTAAAAATCACTCGGACACTGAAATCACATCTCACTTACACTTTTCGCCTTTTATGATCAAATCTTCTCCATGCATATTCATAACTTCCACTCCTGAAAAGGCCGCGACCGCGAAAATAATTTCAAATAACTGAATAAATCTCAGGGGTTGTACGTCAAATTTATTAGAATTGAAGTTGGGCCTGTTCTACCACAGTCCAATCGTTCCGGGAAACGACGTTAAGGTTATAGTCCAGTTAAATAGGGATTATAATTGAAGTAAAATATTTGCGAGTTTGGTTCTATCGGGGAACTAGGAACTAACATCAAAATGATCGACAACTGAAAATTATTTATATGGCTCACATTATTACCTGTATTTTAGGCGACCAGAAAGATATGCCAGGTGTTTCAAATTCGACCCTCATCAATGGAATCTCGGAAACGTTATGAGATACGAAGTGTATGTATGTATGAAGTAAATGTGCGCAAAGTTGCGTATTTAGATAAAATGCCGCTTAGATAGTTTCGAAATTCAAAGTACTTCCGGAGAGAGACGGAAAAAAATAATTCTAAAATCATATTCTTTTTTCCCTGACTTGTAGTGGGATTCTAAAATAAACTGCTCATTAATAATATGACGTCTTGTCTTCCTTCATTAACTTAATTCAACCAATTAAGGATGCCATATTGGATTTTTGCACAGGTGAATAAGTTTTCAATTGTGACTCCAAAAATGTATGTCATACATTGAAATTGCCAAACCTTGTTGGTGATTAAAGTTGAAAGAAGATACCTCAAATTGAAAATTTGTTATCATGCCGTCTTGTAGAGGAGAACAAGAAGTAGCAATAGCAACATGCAATTTATTTTGTAATCCCATCTCAGAGTTAGGAAAAAAATAAAAACGGTTTAGCCATGAATCTGGTAAATGAAACAAATGACTATCTGATAATTTCAAGGCCTACATAAGAAATTCTGCTTATTGAAATAACTATGATTTGACATACATTATACGAGTACTTAATACATTCTCCACACTCCATTCACTTGAGCAAAAATCAAATTTGGCATGCTTCAGAAAAAATAAAGTTGATGCTAGAGGGCAAGAGACGAAACGTTATATTGAAATTCTAATTATGTCATCGTCGAATTTCAAACATCCAGTATAAAATTCATTATATGATCTCGAATCTAGCGAACGTTACAGATTAATACAAAGATGTCACTTGCTGATCAGCTGTTCACCTCAGTAGACGTCAAAACGTGAAATAGGGTTTAGCTCTACAGGTAACTTAACACTTAACCTCTTTCTGACTACACTGACAGCAAACTGCAGACCCGGGGCTGTAACTATAATCAAATTCAAGCGAATAACCAAATGGAAATGGTATTTACCATTTTGGGTTGGTATTTACCAATCCGTTCAAGCGAGTGTAGTTAGCAGTTTGGTTATAAGATCCATGACGTCACGAATCAGCTGTTATATGTCATAGTTATCACCGCAAAATTGTGGTATTTACCCAACTCAAGAGTAGTTTTATATTTCTGGTTATTATTTGAAATGTGACAAGTTAGAATTTTGCCGGGTATTGGATATTGTTATTGTACTTCAGCTTCATTTTTGAGAAAAATGATACAGGCTGACAGTTTTACCATAAAGTGGAGCACCTTATTAGTTATACTCATTATGGTTGTTGGGGACACTTTAAATGTAGTTCCTATGCTTAACAAAGTATCCTGTGTAGCCATATACCACAAGAATATTAAAATATGGCCATATAAACTCACTAGATGATATCCACCTGTCTACGGTTTTGCTAATTTCTTTTTTCATCATTTCTGCTGAATCAATAATGTTTTCTTTGACATGAGGAAAAATTTAGAGAATTGAAAGTTATCATAGCTACAAAGCCATGGTTCCATCATTAAAAAAATCTGAAAAAAGCATTTCTGCCATGAATATTATGAAAGGTTTCTTATTTAAACTTTCCATATATAGTTGTAGACGAAAAAGCACCGATTATTAAGTGATAATAAAAATAATCAGAGATTATATACGCGCTTTTCTAAAATAAACAACTTGCAACAAAACCGCGGTTAAAACCAACGCGTTCAAGCGATTCGTGTAACTGACGTCATCAACCCGTGTGTCATCTTGAACCATATTATAACCGCGGCACATAACACAGAAATTTTGGTTATTCGCTTGGATTTGATTTTTCTATACCCTATTTTACGAGTATCGGCAAAAAACACATAATTCTGACTGATCCGTGAACGCCAGGTAGACAGAGCCGAATTTTGTTTTGGTTTTTTGTACGTTACAGATTCATTTTGTACTTGCTAGCAGCTCCTTTATTTAGAAAAGTTCATTTGCATACAAAACGCCACAAACAAGTTTTTTCTACATTTATACCCGATCCAGTATTGCCAACATTGGAGACTAACACAAAAATGTCACTTGCTTATCAGCTGTTCACCTCAGTAGATGTCAAAGCGTAATGGATACTCGTGAAATAGGGATCGTTGATCTTTTTTTTGGGATGGGTTAAAAGTCAATAAATATTTTGTTCTAAATCACTTTATTTATTTGTTGATAATCACTTTAGTCAGGACAATACAATAGTAATGATATACATAACTGGGAATATACGACTGTAGTCTAAAGACAAACTAGTAGACTTCTCTAGGCAATAAATAACTGTTTAGTGAGCAAGGAGAATCACAGAAATGCAGTTTTCTTCACTAGTAGTTCTTATAATGTTTGAGTCTATATAGCGAGACCTCGGAAGATCTATTTCCAAACGCAATATAACCACTGGACGGTGAAAAATTGAACGTTGTAATGTGACCCATCTTGGTATTGAAGTTGGGGAAGTTGCTGAATACTGTACCGGACCCAATGTGGAACAATTTTGCGGAGTTCTGGATTTCTGCTGAGCTAAATGCCAGCATTTCTGAGGTGGGGTTAAATTTCAAATCAGTGATACCTGAAAAAGAAACAAAAATATACAGAAGTCACCATAAACCACATAATGCTACACAGCTGAACATTTGTTACAATCGCTTAAATAATTTCAACTTCAAGTCTGCAACAATGAGTACTAAAAAGTTGAGTCAGCTAGATCGACTCGGTTATCTATTTCACCATTCCTAATGTCTACGTATTTTTTGTTTAGTTTCCAAATCTATTCATTTGTCAATTGCCAACCTAATGGCACTATTGACATCATAATACAGTTACGCAATTAAAGAATAATTACCTGTGGTAAGATTCAAAATTGTTTTTCTGGGTTTAGGCAACTTATTATGCAGTACGTCCTCCATTCCATACAGATTGACCACACCTTGTGCTGATCCTGCTGCTAAGAACTGACTGGACTTAGATATGGCAATTGTGGTGCCTTGTAAGCAGCCCTCATCTGTGAATTTGTGCTTTACTCTTCTTGATCGCATATCCCAAATTGTCACTTCACCACTGTCACTGTGTCCAAATAATAAACTGCCTAAAACAACGCATTTGTAACTTATAGTACTGGATTTCACCAGAAAATATCCAATTCATTTGAAAGCGATGTCATATGTGACGACTACAACCACTTATACTTATAACTAGTGTCCGACCGAACTTTCGGTTTCGGTCCAAAATCAGAGTTTCGGTTTAGTTTCGGTTCCGGCAGAAAATCCGCCGAAAGTGCGACCGAAACCGAAACTACGTTCGTATATTTTCTCGCTTAAAAATCATTAAGGAAGTCCAGTTCAGGCTCAATTTTAGCCAGAATATTCAAACCAGTTTGTTTGTACAAACTAAATTTAGTTACCCAATATCTTGGAAATAGTTTTTGTTTTTGGTCTTTTAACAACCCTTCTAGAAAACCACCGATGTTTATGCACTAGATTAAAAGATTTTTGAGAATTACGATAAATACGTAAATAATTTTAAATCGGTTTAACTCAGGAAAATTAAGGTCCGCCCATGGTACGGATACTCGATCTGTTTACTTATTTCATATGGCGTGTCGATGAGGTAACCGCCAAGAACGGTGACTACAACTATACAAAGTCTCCATATGCTAGATGTAGGATTTGAGATACTACTTATATCGTTTTTTTGACCTACCGTGATTCTTACCAAAAATTAGAAAAAGAGATGGCAGGTTAAGAGATGAGAGCTTGGTGAAGTATTCTGAAGAAATAGAACGAAGTCTTGCCTTTTTCACACACAGCAGCAGAGGGGGAAATTAAATGGAGTGCTGACAATAAGCTAATAATCGACTTGGAATGAAAGGAATATATAAGATAATATGATAGTAATAACTAATAAGATGGTTCAAACAAATTCATAAAAAGCCGGTTTCCTAGCTATGAACAACGCCGTTTATTCTATAAACTTGCATGACCTATAAAATTATTTATAGGGTTATATATTATAATTTTGATATGAATATCCTCTATTCTGTTCAGAACTAGTTCTGAGTCAGGTTGAGGGGTCCTTGCAAGGTAAATTTCATCATTAAGGATAAACAATATTCTTTGATAGGAAGATGAAGTCTGATTTTATCACTTTTAGGTATTGATTAACACAGTCTACATGAAGATAGCCAACTTGATACTATATTTCCACATCCCAAAAATTATCCAATATGAAATGAGATATCATAGCGTCATCTATGAGAATTTGTCACAGCTATGTTTCACATCTCCGACCTAATTAGAAATCTACTTTGAAAAGGTTAGTGTCTCAAAGATGGCGCAGTAGCCAACCATATTAGCATATAGCACATAATTAGCTGCAGTGCCAATGAGACACTATCATTTTCAATTTAGAGAAACATTGCTGCAAATTATTGTAGATGATGCTACAGTATCTCATTGCATCTCAGATAACCTTTTGGATGCAAGAATATAGTATTATGTTGGCTATCATCAGAAAGAATATGTTATTCAATGCTTCTATTCTAGTCCTACTTAGCAACAAGGGATTGACGAGTATATGATTTTAAATGCCATCAGTAAAAGAAACTGAACATCTAAATTAGAGAAGACAAAAATGTACTACAAGTGAAAGTGGCTTTGAATACTGAGCTATAATTAACTGTGGAGCTGTAACGAACTATGGCCACTATGTAAAGAATCATGTTCAACTAGGCAATTCTTATCTCATCTGCCTTTAGTTGCAAAGAGCTGGGATCTTTGCGGGAGTCTACTGTGGCATTGCTGTAGATATAAGCATTGGTTATTTGCAGCCAACAAAACATGACCTGCTCATAGGTTAGCAAGAATGGAAGAAGAATCGCATTGGTGACACATGGTGCTTTAACTATTGTGTTTGTTACTCTTCATCAAGGGTCACTATGGCTAGTTAATAAAACTGTCCACCTTTAATGTTGCAAAGTCAGAGGTTTGAATACTACCAGTGTCAATTTTTTTTCTTTCCTCTGTATTTTAGATTTTTTTGGTTTACTGTTAAGTGTAAATTTATACTGGTATTACCTGACGAGTTGAAAGACAATGCTGTTACTTCATTGTCTTGCTTCAGTAAACAGATTCTTTCTTTGGACATTGCTGATAGAAGGTGCACCTCTCCCCATTTGCCAGCTACAGCCATGTACTCAGAATCTGGTGATATAATGAATTTTTTGCAATTTGTTATTCCTTGTGGTAACTTCATTCTCACTGGTTTTGCTTCTAGGAGGTCATAGCTGTATATGTGTGGATGTCTCGAACCTGAAATATATCCTCCTTAAAGTATTTTGAATCTAAAAATATTAAGACCTCTTACTCGCCATGCAGGAAGCCGAGCATTTTAAGATATCACAAATATATTGAAATTTCATCACACATCACAACAAATCTGAAAATATGGCATCATTTGCTTTACAAAGAACTCTAATGTTTAATGTTTTTGTATTAAAAAACATCCATAAACAAAAAAAGAACTAAATATATGCCACCTATGAATTATAACAGTGTATAAAACATCCCTGCTGAGAATTTTATATTAATTTCAGTCATAAAATTAATATAAAATAATAAAGGCACCTAAACACTGAAAAAAAGTGTTGATATGAGAGGTATATTGTAACATTTCAATTTTGTTGAATCACCAATACTTTGCTACAAAAAAGTATATTCCGAGTATCTACACTTTTTTCTATAAACTAGTTGCTGCAGAACTTGACCTTCACAATCAAACTTTAAATTTTGTGATAACACGATGCTCAAGTTTAGCCTATACTTAGAATATGACCTTACTTCTGCCAAAGATGCTGTGCTTCTGGAGTGTGCAAGTAAAATGACGTATTTGAAAGAGCCTTTCTCCAACATACAAGAAAAAATTGAGAATATACTGAATCATCCTTGAAAAATGAAAATAAACAATTTATTTCAGCTATTGAAAATGCATGTTTGTTCAGAAAAAGAATAATACCATATTGTTGTCTGCTTGTAGAAACTGAGAGAAAATAATTCATGAGCTTTGTTCTAACTAACTTTAACAAAAATTAGGCTCCTAATCTACTTAGATCCAATAATGGATTGCTATAAACCAGTGTTCTCGAACTTCTTGACCTACCTAGAATTGCTTCATTTCCTCCTTTAGCGAATTTTGCACAAACTATCGGAAACCCTTGGAATGCTGCACTGTGCAGTTTTTTATTCTGTTTACTGTCCACAGCAAACAAACTCATGATGCCTGCATTGCCAGTAACCATTGCAACACTGGATGTTGGATGAAATTCTATAGAATTAATGAAGGGACCCTCACATAATGTTTCATGATTCAGATCTCTGACTTTTTTATATTCTAACAGATTTGAAGGTAATGTGCTACTACTAGTAGTTGTTAGGAATCCACAGGTTTGTAGAATTTCATCATCTGAGCCAGAGTCTGTTCTAGGCCTTTTGTTCAGGTCAGCCCATCTGAAACAGAAAGGAACACCTTGTACTCAAATGCTGAAAATTCATGTACATTTTGAAATATTTGGTATTATAATAATATTTTAATTTATACAGGAACTTAAATTTGTCATTCCATCATAATATATCCAATTTTTGAGATATAAACAATAAATTTGGGAGTAGGAAATATATGAAATGCTGAACTGGATATGTTTACTTTCTGTCTCTGTAAGCACAACTAACAATACTGTTTTGTGTTCTTTAGCAACTCATCAGTGGGACATAAGTCTAGTCTTGGAGAAGGACAAACCAAAAGCATACAAGTGGGTATCATATTTTGAAAATGTAGGCGTCTTTCTGCATTTTCAACATATAGGTTGGATGAAATCAGCTTGGAAAACCATAAGTAGATGGCATTCATCAGATTTCTCACCTACTTCTACATAAAAGATAAGGGAATATATTACAAATATGTTTATACTGGAATATATGGAGATACTGTGAATCCTTCAACTTAGGACAACATGCCTTTACTAATATTCTAGTAGAACTGCTTGAATTCTTTAAAACATTTGAGCTAAACACTTTAAGAAGATGTACAAGTACGATTTATGCTTACCTGGGAGTGCCAAGTGCAGCTTGGAACTTATGCTTAAGCAGATCAGCATACTTGTTGCCTCGACTATTCAATCCACCCTTAGGCAGCTTTCGATGCTGGGCATTCAGGGCTTCGCCAACTTCAATACCATCATCCTCTTCATCAACCCATGCTGGTTTCCTCACAACTTCATCAGTATCACTGCTATCCTCTCCTACTCCAGAGTCGGTGTTCGACTGTGACCCGCTTTCTTGGGAGTCTTGCGAAGCCCCCGCCTCTTGTTCTGCCTCCTCCAGGCAATGCAGGAAGTTTTTGGCGCCCCCAAAAAGAATTTGGGATAGTTTTTCCTCTTCTGCCTCTAGGGCCTCGTCCACCGGGCGGAATTTCATTTTAGGCACGTCGATCTGGAATTCTTCGGTTTCATTTTCGTATTTCCTTTTTCTGTTTTTATTTTGTTGTACTTTGGGCATTATTGAAGTTCAATTTGAGGTGTTTTTAAAAGCTTTTTCAAAAAGAATGAAAGCAGAATGACAGCACCAGGCCACCAGGCAACGTCTTGACGTTGACAAATGACATCTGACAAATGACGTTACTGGCAAGAGTCACTACCGTAAGGGGCATTTGTGTTCATTGGTCTGCAGGTTGCATTTCCGAAAGTATGAGTGACGTCATCAGCTACGATCGGTAACGAATTGGTTAAAGCTAGAGCAGGCCTCGTGACTACCAATTACAAACAGACAAGTTAAAAAATTATTGATAACGGTCTATGAATAAAGGCTGAAAAGGCGAATTCTTGAGTATTTGCAATTTCGACCAAAGTTCGTTTGTTTTAATCCCGTTTCTAAAATCGGCGAGAGTCTCTAAACATTCCGTGTGCTTGCTATAAGCTGAGCTTCGTGACATCATGTAATTTAATTAATTTAATCTACCGAGATTCCTTAACCTTTGAGGTTTGAATGCATACATGCTAAATTGATGGGAATTTTTAAAAGTTTTTGAGTATCCCGGCCAAAATTATTCACTTGTAGGCTAAATCGGGAGTGTAAATCATTAATAATAATTAATAATAATAATAAACGTCTTTATTAAATACTATGTACAATACATGTATATATACAGGGTGACTTTGAAGTTGAGTCATTAATTTTCAGATAATGATTGTAGAAGGAAGATAAACCAAAATATGTGTGTAAAAATAAAAAAAAATAAAAAAAAAAATGTTACCTTGTTTAATAAAGTATCCTCCCGACAAGTATTTCAGTGCGGACCTGTATTTGATCGTGCGGTCTTGGAGCAGCATGCCCTCACCTGTGAGGTCTTAAGTCACCTGATTCACGAGCCCTTTGTACTACATTAACAAAGGTACGAGGGGTTGGTTGCACTCGATTGGGAAACCGATTCGCATAAATCCGTGATGCATCCGGGAGCATTTTGTAAAGACTGCCCCCCCGTAAATAAGAATCATGTCCACAAGTTCAGCATTTTCGTAAACATGTGCCATTTTTGATTTCGTTTGAACCACGCAACACACTACTATTCACTTACGCGTTATCGACTGACGAAAAACATCGTGATAAACGTTTCAAATTCTTTCGCTTTTTTGTTTCCGATGCGATGAACCGGTCAGGCGGATTATATCCGTTGTCGCCAAACACGAGCATATAATAGGCAGGGCGGTACTCAAACTTCCAAAGGGCTATAACTTTGTTACTTTAATTTTACCAGAAAAATGGTAAAGGAAAAAAACATTTCTTTTGATCAGATCTACTCACTGTTAAAATAAATGACTCAACTTCGAAGTCACCTTGTATATACAGTTATAGCCCTTTGGAAGTTTGAGTACCGCCCTGTCTCAATAATAATATTATGTGCTCGTGTTTGGCAACAACGGATATAATCCGCCTTATCGGTTCATCGCATCGGAAACAAAAAAGCGAAAGAATTTGAAACGCTGATCACGATGTTTTTATTCAGTCAATGTGTCAGTCGGTAACGCGTGAGTGAATAGTGGTGTTTGCTGCGTGGCTCAAACGAAATAAAAAATGGCACATGTTTAGGCGGATCGGTTTCCCAATCGAGTGCAATCAACCCCTCGTGCCTTTGTTAATGTAGTACAACGGGCTCGTGAATCAGGTGACTTTAAACCTCACAGGGGAAGGCATGCCGGTGCTCCAAGACCTCACGATCAAATACAGGTCCGCACTGAAATACTTGTCGGGAGGATACTTTATAAAACAAGGTGAAAATTTTTTTATTTTTTTTTATTTTTACACACATATTTTGGTTTATCTTCCTTCTACAATCATTATCTGAAAATTAATGACTCAACTTCAAAGTCACCCTATATATATAAAGCTTAACTATAGTGGAGAAGTTTAGCAATATGCTAATCTAACACTTAACCACTATGGTTAAATATTACGTTGTTAACAGTTAACACAAAGAAAACGCAAAATATATACAGGGTGGCGCATCGAAAACGAAACAGACTCATTTACTGGCAGCTCAGTTTTTTTTTGAAAAACGCTCAGACCCGTCGATTTTGTTTTCGAGGGGGACACAAGTTTGGCAAAAAATCACGTTAGCACATGCAGCACCCTAAGCGGGGGTGACACCACTCCCAAAATCTTAAATGGAAAGGGGGGTCGAGTGATACCTTATTTTAAAGGTCTTCCAATTTCCTTTATAATGATATAAAATTAATGTACTTCAGTTCAGTAGTTTTGAAGATTTATTGATTTAAAGTTTAAATAAAACTAATACATCATCATTAGTGGAGATCAATACATTTGGCAGCAAAGTAATTTAAAAATGGGGAATAAACTGACCCGTTAAGCAAGTAAATGTTGAAAATGGCCACCATGCAATAATAAAGATTTTGCTCAAAACGTTGCCGCACATTTTGCAATATTTGGGGAGTAATTTGAAGGCACTCATACACAATTCTTTGTCGCAGGTCTTCTAATGATGTTGGCTGAGTAGCATAGATTTTGCTTTTTTAAATGACGCCACATAATGAAATCCAAAGGTGATAAATCTGGCAATCTTGGGGGCCATTCAATGGCACCTCTTCTACCAATCCATCGATCTGGAAACGTCTGATCTAAATATTGTCGAACAGGTAATGCGTAATGTGGTAGGGCACCATCCTGTTGGAACATCAACCTATTCGCAATCTACCGCCGATCATTTTGATTTTCAATTATGACTGTTAATGCAGGATCTATGACGTCTTCCAGTAATTCCAAATACTTTTCACCGGTCAAATTTCCAGGTAAGAAAAAAGGATCAACTAAATGATCGCCAAAAATACCAGCCCAAACATTTAATTTTTGTAGCTGCTGTGTATGAACCTCATAATAAATTCTGGGATTAGAATGGGACCAATCTCGGCAGTTATGACGATTTACTACGCCATTTAAGAAAAAGGAACATCCGTCGGAGAAGCAAGTGTTGAATAGAAAATGTTCATCGTTTATAATTCGTTCACTTATATCTTCACAAAAGTGTAATCGCCGATCAAAATTGTCTTCATTAAGTTCTTGTACCAGGTGAATTTTATACGGATGAAAACTATGGGCCTTGAGAATCCGTTGGACAGTACGTCGACTAACACCACACACAGTCTCTAATTTGCTGGTACTTAACGCAGGATCTACATAAACTTGCCCTAAAACCCCAACTTCTATTGCTTCGTTCCTTATGGGATTTTCAATTTTGCGTTTTTTATTGGCGACTGACCCAGTTTCCCGAAATTTAGCTACAAGTTCTACAACACATTTTCGATGCACGTTACTGTTCACATGTCGCTCATTAAATATTTCTGCTGTTCTATTAGCGCACTGATTATTTCCGAAAAATATTTCGATAATTTCAACTCTCTGCTGTGGAATATACCATGGTTAATTTATGTAATAAAGCGTTACAAGTTATTTTAGTAACAAAGTTAGGTCAAATTTAAAATAAGTACGAGATATTTCCTTATCTTTATTCAAGAAGCATTTACTTATTAAGTCAATTCTTTTAGTCAAATTTCTTCTGAAAGTAGTACAAACTAATCTGATGTACCTATTAAAGTCTACTTTAAGCTTTAACTCAATAAATATTCAAAATTACTGAACTGAAGCGCATGTATTTTACATCATTATAAAGGAAACTGAAAGACCTTTAAAATAAGGTATCACTCGACCCCCCTTTCTATTTAAGATTTTAAACTTGTGTCCCCCTCGAAAACAAAATCGACGGGTCTGAGCGTTTTTCAAAAAAAAACTGAGCTGCCAGTAAATGCGTCTGTTTCGTTTTCGATGCTCCACCCTCTATAACAAATCACTTATAACTAATAAAAAAACGAGATATTTTGTGTGTACATACTGCTACTCTATAAAGATCTATGGAATATTGAGGAAAAAGTTAATCGTTCAAACAACTCAACTTAACATTGTAGCGGAAACGTGTAAAACTCATGGTCTTAAATTTACTGTCCAAAGAATTATATATTGCTGTAACGTTATATGAGAAACTTCGTTGGAACAGAGATGTTGTATGCTTCGAAATTCTGCTAACGTGCCTGCCTCTAATAGTTTTATCGTGAATGGTGTTACTAGAAATTATTTTTTACATAGGTATTCTGGCTTAAAATTAATTAGAATTTTATGGATAAATGTGGAAAAATGTGACTTGACCAACTGGTCAAACTTTAGCCATCTCAACTCTGCATATCTACTTGTGAGAGACATGGTCGAACTTTCTCATGCCGAATATAAAGCGAACACAGCTGTTTTAAATTGATTGGATTCTGTGTTTAGTGATTTGATCCAAACAGGGAAAATATAGAATATAGTAGTTCAAGACAGACATAACGAAGGTCTCGCAAAGTTTTTTCTCATTTTGAAGTTTAGCAGATATCTGTTTGAATAAAGACTGCGTAAACGTGCATAGGTTTTTTGTGTCAGATTTTTTACATGCTCGGTGAATCTTAGTTTTGTATCAACTTCTACACCCAATATTGCACTATTGGAGAGCTCGAGCTGCTTATTGTCTATGTTCACATTTAAGAGCGAACCAACGTCGTCTCTTCTGCGCTCTGAACAAAACAATAAAATCTTAGATTTTTCCAGTTTTATGCTGAGGTAGTGATCTGATGAATATTTACATAGACTATCAATATCTGCTTGTAATACTTGGACAGTCCTCTGTATATCTTCTATACCGAAACAATGGCAGTGCTGGGTGTCATCAGCGAACGATTGAATATCAGAGTTGTAAACTGATCTAGATAAGTCAAATGTATATATTAAAAACAAAAGAGGTCCAAAAATGGAACCCTGAGGCACTCCTGAAGGTATGCGAGTGACATTAGATGTAATACCCTTCACTGAAACACATTGAGTCCTGTTTTTAAGATAGCTTTCAAAAAATTTGATTACAACCTCATCAAAACCAGCAGAACGTAGCTTAGCACATAAAAGTTTATGATCTATCTTATCGAAGGCTTTAGAGTAGTCGACTGATATTAAACCTAACCCCATTTTTTTGTCAAGAACACGAAAGATGTTGTCGCATGTGTTTAATAAAG